AGAGAGAGAGAGAGAGAGAGAGAGAGAGAGAGAGAGAGAGAGAGAGAGAGATCACTTCGACATGTTTAAAGAAATCCAAAACAGTGAAATATACAATGTAACGGCGAGCAGTACAAAATCTAGGCAAAAATGAAGACGAAGTCGAATCCTTTTTAACACACAGGAAAGTTTCTTAACAACATGTTACCTTCTCTCTCACGCGCGCGCACGCACACACACACACACACACACACACACACACACACAAACAAACAAAAAGAAAACACCCTCAAACAACAACAAGAACAACAACAAACAAACCCAATAACAACCACACACGCATAAAAGAAACGGCAACAACAACAATATAAACAAGAGTAACAAAAGTGTCCGCATATCACATTGTATAAAGATTGTACCCAGCCCGCACTCACACGCAACGCAATAAAACAACGAGGAATCTTAACATTTACGCGGTCCTTGTTGTGATTACTTACAATTGCAGAAGCCTTATAAAAGGGAAGAATCTTGACTGTCTGTGGACGACCACACGGGTACAGAGCTCTGTGGAGCAAGTCAATGACAGAGACATGCCATTAGCAGTGACAGTGGCAGTGAAAATGACAATTACAATTACAGCAACAGTGACATTGACAAAGCCAGTGATGATCACAACGACAGAAACAATAAGCAATAACATGATAATAACAATGACAGTGACTATTACAACAATAGTGACAACTACAAAAGCAGTAGAAGTGACAATGCCAGTAGTGACAATGGTAATGAAAGCGACGATTCCAGTGACGAAGACAGCGACAATGACAATTAGAATGGCAACAGCAATGCCTAAAGCTATGACAAAACCAACAACAGTGACCATAACAGTGGCAGTAGCAGTGATCAAGACAGTGACAACATCAATGACGATCTCAATGATAGTCACGTGACAGTCACAAAGACCATGACAACGGAAATGACAGCAGAACGATACTGAAAGTGACAATTCCGATGACAGTAAATGAAAAAAAAAACATCAACGTTGTCACAATTATCCCAAATGTTTTGTTTTGGTAAGTGTTTTTGGCGCTCGCAATTGCACAAGGTCATATTATTATGAGCGCGCGGGACACATTGAACCTTCAGTTTGGAAGAAAACGAAAGCAGACGAGAGAACATGGTTAGTATAGAGAGCAGGAAAGAAGGTGAAAGTACACAATTAATTTTAGAGAAGAAGATATTCCGTCTCTGACAGGTTTCGAAACCCGGTTCACCACACTAGATCTAGCGCTATTCCACGGTTACTGACAGGACATTTGGACTTAAACTTTTTTTATACTGATAACATTATAATTATAATTCAATTTCAATAAATTTATTTTAACTTTAAATGATCAGAACATAATTTGAAAGACAAAATCGTATTAAACGCAGTCATTTGAAAATAAAAGTATTTCAGGCAAATTCGGTGATGTGTTTAGTCTCGGTAACTGACAGGACAGAAAAAACACCTCATTTGTCCCGTCAGTTACCGTGGACTAGCCTTCTATCTGGTTTGAACAACTTACGATGACATCAGCAGGTCAATGGGTGGAATGACAGGAACGTAGCACGATTGTTGGTCCTGTAGACAGAATGAACATACACATTGCCGTTTGGGGAGTAAAACAGAATACAAAAACGTTAGAAAGTACCAAAACAAACCCCCTCGCCCCCTACCCCCGAAAAAAACCCACACCGATCAGTAATACAAAGTGACAACTATAATAAATACCACCATTACCATTACCACTACAATTACAACCAACACTACCGTTACTTCTATCAAAACCAGCACCTCCAAGAACAACAACAAACACAAACAATACACGACAATAAGAAAAATAACAAAAAGGACAACAACATCGTCACCATCACAACAAAACAATAACAACTACAAACAATAACCATAAAGAACAACAACAACATTAACAAAAACAACAACAATAACTACTACAATAACAACAATACCATCATAGCAACAACAATAACAACCACAAACAATAATCATGAACAACAACAACAACAACAACAGCAACAGCAACGACAAAAGCAACAATAGCAACAGCAACAACAACAACAGCAACAACAGCAACAATAACAGCAACAGCAACAACAACAACAACAACAGCAACAGCACTAACAACAACAACAGCAACAACAGCAACAACAGCAACGACAACCCCCACCTGTCCCCAGAGACTGTCGCCGCCACAGTTCCTCACTGAACACATGTCGATGTAATCACAGGCGATGTAAGCGGTCGCGTTGTTCGGAAGCGCAAAGTTCCTCAGGCCAAAACGCCAGTTTGTCTCTGTGCAGATCTTACACAGGCTGTCCTCGTCACTGGGGTCTTTCACGTCTATGATCTGTTAGGATAGGAGTGGGAGGGTGGGGGAGGG